TGCCCTAATAACCAAAGTCAATAGTGATCGAAAAACTGCTTCTGCCTGCTGCTCAGGAAGACATTCCTTCTGAAATCTTGCATTGTTCCTGTCCATCCAGATCACCCAAAGGATAACGGCTCTTCCAACTTGGGCGATGTACCCCCACCCTTTAGAGGTGCACGCAGCAATCCTGTTCCAATGCATCTCCCACCAACGCCACCACTTCCGTGACCATGGGCAGTCCCACCACAGGTGGCTAACGGATTCTTCATGACCCTGACAACGGTCACACTGCATCTCCACATCCATCCCTCTCTCGCTCAGCCACTTGGAGGTTGGGACCACCACGTGGGATTGAAGCCATAACACAGAGGCTTATGGGATGGGAGTATTTTAAGCCGGGATCAGAGTGTTCTCTCTCATTTGGAGGGGGGAGTTGTGGACACTCCCTGTTCTATCTCGTAGTGATTCTTTCCTCAGCAAGGGGGGAGGTTTTTAAGATTTTATGAATTAGCTTTGATTTGAGTTTCTCTTGTCCGGTGGCTGTTTCTCCTTGCACCTGCCATCCCCAAACCGCTGCGTCGATACGAATCTGTCTCAGTGGGGTCCCATTCGCGATCAAGTGAGGGATCATTTGGAAGCCAACCACTGTGGGCGCTTTCAACCTCACCCTTACTTCTGTAAGCCCCATGAGACCATACTGAAACTGCATTCCAACTCGTTCCAGAGCTGGAAGGTTTGGTATGCTCCGTTTATAGGACTCAAGCCAACAAGAAACTGGGAGATAGAGGGCATCATATCACTCCACAGAGCCAGGGTTTATCGATTCTATGGGTTTTCGGTTCTCCAAGGACACAGAGAGGGTTTAGGGGTTTAGGGGTTTAGGGGCTTAAAGGGTTTCAGAGGGACATCTCATAGTAACATTGCACAGAGGAGTTGCAGAACAGGACTCTCTCATTTCAGGGGGGCTGCAGAACTAGGGCTGGGCTAATAATAAAGGAGGTACTCCATGATGGGAAGGGGGAAAATAGCAGCTCCAAGGGACAACGGAGCCCCGGGAAGAAACATGTATCACCACAGCCCTAGGAAACAACAAACACCAATATCTGTATTATATCTGTATTGTAAGTTGTATCAACGGGACGCTGGACCCGGTTTCCAGCAGGTGCCGCTCCCCACCAATAGATGGAGCAGCCCGACAGATAAGCCCTCAATTCTGACGGTTCTCTTATCACCTCCAGGATAGAGGGATATCGCAAGGGCTTTTCTTCAAAAAAAAAAAAAAAAAAAAAAAAAAAAGGACTCAAGCCAACATTTGCTCAAACCATCTTCGAACCAGCTTTCCAACCTGTAGTACCACTCCTCCTCCCCGTTGTCTCTCTTATACCAAGTGACGGGGGGGTCGATACCTTCCGGGCCCAGTAACTGCTTCCACGCGACTGGCACAGTTGCACGTAACAGTTCAGCTCTCTCTCCCTGTTGAGGGAGCTTTAACAAGAGTTTTAACTGCTGAATCGTGCTGACCCGATTTCCACTTATTGGTGTTGTTGTCCCACAAGTCCCCTAGTGTTGAAATGCCTCTTTGTGCCCAACTCAGACCAAAGGCACCAGGATTCCTCTCCAAAGTGAAGTCTTCCCTAGTTACCTGACGGATGTTATCATTCTTGAAAAGATGTTGACGCTTCACCTCCTCCTTGGATTTTGGTGGGAGTATGATAGACGGTCTTGCTTTCCTCCATGTTGTAAGCACTTCCCGCCAAAATTTGGAGTGTGGCTTCTTCTTGGCAAAAGTCTTTGACATTATTACCACCCAAACGTCTGCAGGACGTGTCAGATTCCAGTCAGAGCAAAGCAATGATTCTGTTAGGATAATCCAATCCACTTTTTCTTTTGCTTCTGCAACTCGAAGGATCCATTTAGCCAACAATGTTGTGTTTTGGGCACCACGATCAAACAATGACAGTCTTCCTTCCTCCCTGGGTTTGCAGAGCACCTCCCAAGCCACCTTTGATATGTAGCCCTTATCCGGATCTCCCTCGGGTTTCCAGATGAACCGTCTGCACACAGCCTTGATGGATTTGAGAACTGGAGTTGACAATCTGCGAACTGTAGCCACACCAGAGGAGGGCGAAAGTCGAGGCCATCACCGCCATAGCTCTTCCTATTAGAGACAAGTGGAAGGCTTTACCCCACTGTGTACTCTCTTCTTGATCTTCTCCTGAAGGATTGTTTCTTGAGACAAAGAGTAGTCACCCAACGCAATCTGTACGCAAAGAAATCTCTCTGCGGATTCAGCTGGCACCTGCTCCATACCCCACTGCACTGCAGGTATACACTCCTTTGGTAAGAAGAAGGTCGACTTGTTCCAATTCACCACCGCTTCTGAGAGCTCCACAAAGTCCATCAGACAACTTTTGAGGGCTTCCAATGAAGATTTTCCACTTATTGAGATTGCAAAAAAATTATCCGCCAGAGCTTTGACCCTGCTCTCCTTTCCATTGTGCAAAGTACGGCCAACAATCTCAGGATGGCAGCGAGTGGTTCGAGGTGTAGAACGAACAGGAGTGGGGCAAGGGGACACCCCTGCCTCAACGATCTTTCGTCAGAGATGATTCCATTTACGCAGTCAGATGCAGAGGAGAAACTGTAGATAACCTTGACCCATCGACAAGATGGCTCTCCAAAACCTACAACTCTTAACGTGGTAAGTACAAATGTCCAGTTCACCCTGTCATAGGCCTTTTCAAGGTCAATCAGGAGGACTGCAACTTCAGCGTCTTCCCTGTCGATGTACTCTAAGGCCTCGATCGCCGTGACAACATTCTTGAAAATGGACCGACCACGTACGAAAGCACCCTGATCCCTAGGAAGCAGGCATGGTAAATGGTGGCCTAATCTCGTGGTCAGCGTTTTAGCCAAAATTTTATAAACCACATTCAAGAGCAAGATTGGCCTCCAATTGCGCACTTCACTGCGATCTCCTTTTTTGAACAGCAGGGACATAACACCTCGTGTCATAGATTGGCCCAGTCTTCCTCCGGTTAGTATCTCCTTGTACAACTATGTTAAGTCCTCTGCAAACACACTCCAACAACTCTCGAAAAACTCAACGGACAGCCCATCGTTGCCTGGGGCCTTCCCTCGCGCCATACTTTGGATTGTCTGCGGCAACTCCCCTTCGATAACAGGTCTGTCCAGTCCCTGTCTCACTTCTTCTGTCAGCCTCACAGTGAAGTTATTCCACAGTGGGGAGAGATCAGCCATGTTCCCATCAATGTCGTCATGCGGTTTTCACGTTGTCATGATATCCTCAAAGTAGTCGGCAGCATAGCTACACATGTCCTCGTTTGTGGCTGCCAGTGGAAGGCCCAGTTGATGTGGGTGCTTGAGCTCTCGCATACGCACAGATTTGTTTTTCGGCAGCAGGCGTTGAAATGCGGATTTAGTCATCCTGTCTGAGGACACAATTCCTCTGATCTTCAGAATTTGGTTTCATCTCTCGTGCTTTTGGACTTGGTGCAGTTCCCATCGGAGAAGCCTTTCACTTCGTTCCTCCGCCCAGAAAAGGTCGGAGATCGGGTGTTTACCCAAATTGCTTTCTACCTTTTCCACTCTCTCTCGTAACTCGCGTTCCAGGCAGTTCCACTCAAAAACACTGATCTGGGAGACTGTGTCCAGCCTCCTTGAAATGATCCTGATACCTGCATCTAGCCATTCTGCTAATGAATCGAAGTGGACCTTGCAGTCTGACCAATCCCGCCAAAAATCCTCCACCCATTTCGTGATGCCCTCATCAGCAAGTAGATCGGTATTTAAATGGAAGTATCCAGGTCCTCTCTCCTGTAGTGCAGACAACGTGCAATTTAGGACCACGGGCTTATGATCCGACATTGAGTCGTTGACTATTTTCGCTCTCAGTACGTCACTAACGGCCGCTTCTGATACCAAAAAATAGTAAAGTCTCCGTCTGATCGAGGCTGTTTGGGGGGATCTCCCCAACCAAGTGAACCTAGGGTCAGTTGGATGCATCTCCCATAATACATCTCGCAAGTTCCAAGCTTCTATCCAGTCCAGTAGTATCGCCCTGTCCCGTGTCATGCCACCGTCTGATTCCGAGTCAAGTCCCGGACAACGGACAGTTTTCCAGTCCCCGGCTGCTATAAGCTTACTAGGGTTTGGTAGGACAAAAGGTAGTGAATCGAAAAAAATGGAGTGCTCCCCTGGCTCATTCGGAGCATAGACTGTCGAAAATGCCCAGTCTGCTCCCCCAATAGCTAACTTGACCCAACACCACCTACCCCACACATCAAAGTCGAAGTCTACCAACTAAGCATCATATGCGATTGTGGATAAGTACAACTACCCCACCTTTGGTGCCCCTTGCGGGTGACCAAAGTTGAGGGTCGTCCCACCAATCTCTTAATTGAGCAAGCTTACTTTCCGAGAGTCTCGTCTCTTGGATAAGCATAACATCAATTCTCCTCTGATGGATCCAAGATTTTAGCCTCCTTCCCTTCTTGCTTCCACAGAGATCACCTAACCCCTTGACATTCCACGTGGCAATCCGCAGTCTAACCATTGATGCCGTGGTTCAGTCTGCATGATTGGATGCCTGCAGGTAACGAATTTTCACCTCTCGTTTTGTCTGCACTTGACGACGGACCCTGAGATTGCCAATCACCTGTCAGACACTGAACAAGGGAATTTGAAGATAAGTTGGAGGCATGTTGGGATTCAAATCCGCCAAACACGTAGCGGATACACCTGGTTCAATAATCACCTGAGAGAGGAGGTCAATCGAGGGGAGAGTTAGTGCGCTCAGTGCGAAAGATGTTAACCCCACTTGCTGCAACCCTGCTGACGCTTCGACTGGAATCCTGGCATCGATGAAGACCACAATGTAACAGACCGTCTTGTCCTCGGCTGCTTCTGCTCAAATTTTTGGCATAAGGAACTTAGGAAACAGGCGGAAGTCGAATCTGTCTGCATACGTATACCTGACTTTCTCTCGAATGAAAGATAGCATATGTATTTCATTAATGCCAGACGCAGGCAGCAACAAATTCTCGACTCGATCCAATAGCGTGATAACGAAGATCTCCTGGTCTTGTATAGCGCAGACAAGAGGTAATAGCATATGTTCTTCATCTGCTGAGGTTGCATGATCCATTGTTGGAACACTCACTGGATATTCCGTGGTGAAGCTTCCATGCCATCGCCTCGTTCAGGTGGGAGTTGTGATGACGCTTCAGAAGCGTCATCACCTTCTACCGCTTCTGCCTCGTCTTCTACTTGTGATGTCTCGTGCACATACGGATCCAGATTAGTCCTTCTTCCGGATGCTCTAGCCTCCGACAGTTGTTGCCGCACTACTTCTCGATCACGTGGTTCTTCAGTAAATGTGCCGCCAAGTCCTGCTACCACGGGTCTGGAGGCAGCCGCCGCTGGGTTGGGCCCGTCGCCTATACCGTACATGTGTCCGAAATAGTTCCCATAAGGGTTGTACGGCACGCCATATTGATAAGTTCCGGGACCCTGCGATCTCAACAGACCTCCGGCAGGCACATGCTGTCGGAAACCAGTGCCCAATGTAATTGATTGACGTGGATGCTGCGAAGCAGCTCCTGGAATATGACGAATTGCCGCTGGCTCATCTCTCAGTCTTGGTTGTGAAGATGAGGCAGCACCCTCATTGTGGATGCTCGACTCGCACATATTAATGCGGCCTTTCGAGCCCTCTTCCCCAGCATGCAACACCTCTCTTGAGCCATGAACCTGACTCGGTACTTCCCTCGCTGCATCACGTATATGGCAATCGCCACTCGATCGTTGTTGTCTGGAGGGATGATTGTCAGTTCGGTGTTGACCCGCTTGATCTTCACTATCATCTTCGTCAGCTCTTGGACAACCATCTGTTGAAATATGAAACCACCATCTGCATCGGTCACACCATGGGGTGTGCTTACAGACAAATTTGATTCGTAATACTTCATTTCCTAGTCGCATTGGCAGCTCCGCTTCAAAGTTCTCTTCTGCTTCTTTGACGAGTTCAAATTTAAGGTTCATGAGCTTGGTGCACGATTGATCTTGCTCGGGTGGGAGATTGTTGGACCACATGTCCCACCGAAGTCTCCAGCATGTTCTCGATATGAAACATCGCCCGTAGAGGTACATGGATAGCCATGACCCAGAACTTGCTTTCGTCTTCCAGTCTTTGGCGCTCCTCAAGTTCCGTTCCGGTCATCCAAGGTTTGAAGTGCATATTGTACTCCACTCCCCGAATCGTAATAGAGTCTTCAGATTTGGCGATCATTTATTGAGCTATTTCCCGTGATTTTGCTACGTAGGATACTATGTTCGGTCCTTTTGCATGGAGACGCCCACACTTGGTATTCCGGTCAAAGATACGTTGACTGTACCAGTCATTTTCATACAACCGGATAAGATCTTCTCTAACTCATAGGAAGATCACGAGCTGCTCCCTGAAAGATAATAGTCACCGTACGTTCCTTTAACCAGATGGCGACCGCGCCCAATCTGGGGTTAACTCCATCAATGTGTGATCAGGAAGGGGGAAGGGGTCTGGGAAATCTATGGGAGGGGGGAGGGGGATATCGTCAGGGATCGTGGTCCAATCATTGAAACAGAGTCGATAATTCTTCTGCTTGACCTCCAACCGATCATCGTCATCCAGGTGTCATCCATCCCATTGGACCCTTGCTATCTTCCCTCCACATTCCCCTCCCAACCAATCCATGCAAAATTCATTTTGGTAGTGAGTGATGTCAGTCTTTTTAGAGAGGGGCTTTGTTGCCTGTACTAGTCTTGCCCATCGGGTCCTGAGTGTTGTCTCAATATGTCTTTGATCGCCTCTGTCATCTTGCTCCTCTCCATATGTGCACCCTCGATGGTCAATATGCACCGGCGCCTCCAGATGGCCCACAACACCGCTTTCCTACCAATTGAAAACAGGTTAGAGGTAAAAACCGAAGCTTGAGCCGCCCAATGTCCACAAAGTAGGGCTCTCCACTCCCATGGCCAGTCGGTATCGGTTTCGAGGGTTGCCCAGATTCTTGCCCACCATCTCCAGACAAGCGTTGAAGATGGGCATTGTAAAAAGAGATGTTCAATTGTTTCATTTATCTTGTGGGATGGAAAGCCCCCCAGGCAAGCCGCGCACCACGGGAGGGCCATGCCTTTTTGCTCCAGGCTGGAGTGGTCAATGAGCCATGCGTTTGTGGGGAGGCAGCGGTGTTGCAATTTGCCATTGCAGCGAGGCCAGTTTGGCGGGTTTGCACTTGGCCTCCTTGAACCATTTGATCGGTCTCAAAGCCTCTAGTGGTACGTTTAGATGCTTCGCCCATCGGTCCACGATTCAATCTTTTAGATTAATTCGAGATCTTAATAACCTGTACGTGGCCTTAACCCCCGAGCTGTGCAGGTATCAGTACCGGGGTTGTGGGTCCCGCGAGGGAATCCTCCACCTCCATTCTTCCGGGTCAATGGGGAGTTTCTGGATGGGCAGCTCAGGCCTGAAGACTACCCAGCAGTCCTCCTTCAACACTCTCACTCTGTGGATACCTGCCTTTTGTGCATCCTTGGAGCTGCACTACTGCAAAACAAAACGCAAGTGGCATTCAGGAGGTCTTGGGTTCAATCCCCATTGGCCTCATATGTCGTTGGTCCCCCCGAGTGGCATTTAGCAGAGACTGCTGATGCTCACAGGGGGAGGGGACCGGAGGGGAGGCACAGTGACTGGCCCATTGAAGAAGCTCGGTCCTGATGCTACCGGCTGACCCCATCGCCGGTATCGCCCACCTGCTGTAGCAGGTATCGCACCTGCTGGTGGGTGCAACTTCCGCATGTTCCCTCGTTGGAGGCTTGAACACGGATGTGGCTGCTACGGGGTTCCTCGTAATACTATAATGACAAAAAAAAAGGCTTTAAAAAAAGGGGAAATTTGTCTGGCGCCCCTGTAATTTGCGTTATTTCGCGTCTTCCCCTCCTACGGCCGATTTACCCTGTCACGCCCCTCTGAGCAGGGTTCAAATTTTGCATAAGACCCCGATGTCGTTTGGGCCTCAAATCTTTTCGTTACGCCCCTACCGGTACCGGTCCCTAATTTGCGGGATGCCCCTATCGGATGGCCGTTAAAAGTCGGCAGGAAATTTTTGAGATGCCGTTACCGGTACCATTTGCTGCCAAACCATTTGCTACTATGTCATTTGCTACTACGTCATTTGCTACTACGTCATTTGTTGCTACCTCATCTGCTGCCAGTCCATTTGCTACCAAGCCCTTTGCTACTATGCCATTTGTTGCTACATCATCTGCTGGCACATCATCTTATGCCACGTCATGTGCTGCCAATCTATTTGCTACCAAGCGATTTGCTACCAAGCCATTTGCTGCTACGTCATAATCTGCTGCCTCATCAGCTGCTGTCACTGCATCTGCTGCAAAAAGGTCGTCTGCTGCCAAGTCGTCCACAACTGCCATCTCTTCTACTGCTTTCCCAGATGCAAGGGCGGCTCCCTCTTCCGACAAACGAAAGGATGTTAGTGGTGGACAGTCTGGGCAACGACGAGGGCAACGACGACCTCGATGAATGCAAAGGCAAGAAAGAAGAAGTTAGGACGAAAATCAGGGGGTGGGCGTTGACTCTTGCGAGTCCGTATCTCGTCTCATCCGAAGGTTACGATCGATGGAAGAAGATGATGGAGGAGAGGGGTGTTGTGATCGCGCTGTCGTGACAAAAATCCTTGTGAGGGTTTTTGCCCGAGTTTTTCAAGGTCAGACACTGCCCGACCCTTTCTTGAATTGAAAGACTTGATGAGATTGACGTTGCCAAAGTTATTCAGACCAACCCTATAATCGAGAGACTTAAAACCTGACGTCGTCGACGTGGGACGTCGTTGACGTGAGACGTCATTGACGTTCGATCGAAACGGCAGGAGTCAGCGGTATGGTTGTCGTCAGCGGTTCTCGACGAGGCCRCAGTGGTGTGCGGTYAGGGAAAGAACTRAAGCTAAGCCTAGTCTACCTAAAATAATGTCGCGCGGCTGCTTCAGGGCCTAAGTGAGCTAAAAAGAGGTGTGCGCCGGGTATAAAGCCGCGACGTAGGGGGAATAGGAAGGAGAGTTTAATTCTAGGGYCGCGGGGCTTGACGTCGAGCCAGGGGGTTAATAGGCYGATGCCAAGGTCACGCGACAAACTGGGCGTGCATGGCCGTGAGTTGGCGGGGCCGGCAGGGCCACAGACAGGCGGGCAGGCAGGGCCTGCAAGGCCGCGGGACGGGGGGACATTGGCTGGGCCAAACCCTTCTTATAGGAGAGTTGCTCCTATCACTGTCGTGATAGGAGTTAGCCCAGTAGGTTACCATACCAAACTCTCACCCGGCAGATACCGGGAACGAATCTGACATGCTAGGCTACTGGGCAAAGCTCCTTTTGGAGCAGCCCAAAGCAGTTGGGCGCGGCCGATCTCGGCCGCGCGATCCTCAAGATCGCACGGCTGAGATCTGC